AAACTTTCTATGCACCGCGACCCAGATCGAACTGGTACCTGTAATATGAACATATATCATCACTCAAAATACATAGTGCAATTCCTTTCTCTTGCCTCTCAGCCTCAGAAACGTATGGCGTTGACATCAAATTTGGTCATTCGATGCACTCTGGCCTGACCAATACCACATAAATTCTGTACGGATCCACGTAAAAATAAATCGATTCGCCCTCGGGGGTATATATATCAACACATCCGACCATACAAAAAAAATTACAAGAGAGCATCATAATCCCCGAAACAATAGGAAGATCTGTACCAGTACACCCGCTTTTCATCGCATCTTCTAATTCGTTTTCCGACATGCACTGGGTAATCATGGCTCATCTCCCCAGATGCCAAAGACTGGAAGATCCTCAGCCATATACAGCAGACCGTTATCCGGGAACATCACGTCAGAAAGCGGAGATGGGCCAGACGCTGGGATCGGGCCGGAAGGAATAGTCCCGCCAGGAGAGCAGCCGACCGGGATGCCCGAGGTAGTTAACGCAGAAATGGCTGCATCATAAGACAAAGCTGCGGTGGGGTCTGCGCCATTGCACAGGGCTTCCCAAACATCGTTGTCGGTTAAGAGTTGGGGTTGAGAGAGTGGTTGGGGGAGTGGTTGGGAGGGTATGTAGGAGGATGGACTTCCAACGGGCATTTTGTCAGGGGATTTAGGGGATAGTGCAGTTGCAGATGCAGATGAGTGAGCAGCACTTGGCTCAGTGAAAGGTGGAGCTCCTGGGGTCGGGGAGTTGCGATCCTCATCACCGCCTACTTGGCCGAAGAGCTGGTCGACCTGTTTGCTGCGCCTATTCATCCATTGTCGATTTCGGCGGGAAACGTATTCGGTTACAGCAGCGCGGAGGTATTTGATAATCTGGAAGAAACGGCATGCATGTGGATCGTGCGGAACAAATAGCCCTAGAAACCGTTCGGCTTTGTTCATTCCTTCTTCCAAGGGGAGAAGATTATCGTAGTCGGCGAAGAATGCAGCGCCGAGAACGATGACAGAGTTAAAAACGGAGTTGATCAAGAAGGGTAGTCGACGTGGAAGGGATGCATAATGGCAGAGATCATCGACCACGTCTAGACCTCGGAGTGCGGAATAGACACATGCATCGGCAAACAATGATATTCGAGAGCTACCGTTTCGAGTTTCGGGGGCCGAATCGAGTTTGCCCTTGACATACTGGGCAACACGGTATATTAGGAATGGCCGTGTCAACAGGATAATCGACCAATAATAGGACCCGAATACATGAGCTGCGGCTAAGCTGTTTTCCATGGATTTGTGTTCGAGCCGCTCAGTCTGCATTTTGAGGATTGCTGGCAGAGTGCGAACCCAAGCCCGATGCTGGTTCGATATCGTCTCTGCAACATTGATCGAGATGACTTGCTTCATGTATACATCGGTCAAGATCCGTTCGAATATTCGACAAAGCGAGATCACCGCAGCTGAAAGCTGTTGGTCTACAGTCAAATGGTGCTGTGATTCGCCTGATATAAGAGCATCTTCCCGTATGTCATAGTCGTAGTCTGAAGTTGCGGGAGGGCGTCCCAGGGAGGCGCTGAGAAATAGATCCATCATACGAAGACTCTTCCAAACGCGCTCCCTTGCTCGGCGCTCACGCCCACAAAAGAGCGCATTTGCATCCTTGCGGTGAATTCCTACCGCGTATGCAGCACGCAGAGCAATCCCCAGATTCATGAATGCACCATTGCGCCTGCATGCGCCGAGCATATACATGGAAACCAAAACGTATGATTGAATGGTGGATATGCTTGGGGTTTCCTGAAAGGCCGAGAACGCCAACTGACGGCCGCTGCCAAAATATTGCTCAGCTACTGTCTGATCAATATCGGAAACCTGAGCTCCAATGGCAAGGACAAGATAGAAAATCGAGCTAACGGTATCTTCGTCACCCGATGGGTTTGCAACCCAATTAGCTAGCCGTGGATGAAATTCCTCCAGATCAAATAAGTCAAGCAACGGGCTTGTAGCAAGCACAAACTGACGAGCTAGTCGTTGGGCTTCGTGATTGCTTGGTGGCGCAACTAGAGCTCCGGACTGAGTGCTTGGGTTGCCCTGAAATGCCTCGAGCATTGAGTGTCGCGAGTTGTCCTCGGTAAACTCACATCGGCCAATGGAAGACGTAACAACACGGCGCAGACTCTGTAAAAACGACAAACTCGCCGAATCACCAATATACATAAACTTTCCCTGCCCATCGCGCAGAAGTCGCGCCACCTTTGGCACGGGAGCCGTCCCTTCCTTCTCATCTTTTTCCTGGCGTTCCATATTCATTCCTTGGTCCTCGAGAGAGTTCAAAAGGCGGTCCATTGCCGTTTCCCTCTGCGGGGATGCTACCATGCGCTCACTGAGCAACATTGTCGAGTCCTTGGCGTCCGGCTTGAGTAGGCGGGCAGGCCGGTCCGAGAAATGGCATTCCGACTCCTTGTGCCTTTGAACACAGATTGTACATGGTTGTTCCCCGTTGCATTTTTGCTTTCGCCTTTTACAGCTGTCGCAGGCTCGTCGGCATCGGAGGCGTGCTCCCGGGGTAGTGCTGGCCCGAGGCATCCCGATCGCCGCGCTCGCGTTTGGTGAATAGGTCGGGTCACTCGTCCGGGGTTTCAGTGGTAATCATCGAGGCGTGAGAGATATATGAACCGATTGAGTCGGGAACGATCTATATTGATTCAAGTCATTGTTGAGGCTTAATGAAGTGCTAAGCCTGTTAAGTGCGGCCGTCTGCTTTCCCCGGACTCCAGCATCTGACTAAGCAGATTCATCCCACCTGGGCAAGATGCCCCAGGTCTGTACATACGGAGTAGATGAACTTGGAATCAGAATCTCACATGATGTATTGGTGCATTGATATGACAATACATTTACTTCAAGCTTACTTCTCCAGAAGATCACGGCCGGAACGATACTATCTTGCCCCAGGTGTCGGCAGTGCCCCAAATGCCAGTCCGCAGGCATTCTAACTGCACAATCTGGCTGTGATCCACAAACAGGTTGACATCAATACCAAACTCACGAACGTACCAATTAAAGACCTTGGGATCTGCAGCTTCAAACATGATATGCTCAGGAGGAAGCTCCTTCATGATCTTCGACACCACATCAGTCCGCCAGGAGGTGACGTTTTCAGTGATACCTTCTGACTCAATCATCAACCGCTTCACACCAGCGTTGAGGAATCTACGACCCAAGTTCACTAATTTGCCGGGGTCAGAGGTCCCAATCGATTCAAGTCCTGAGGCAGGTGTGTCTCCGCCGGCTCCGAATTGAATCCCCAATTCAGGCTTCGGTTCCAACTTGTATGAGTGGACTTTATCAATAAGTCGGAGCCAGTCATCCTCTGGGAATGACAGAAAACCGGAAGACAATTCGATGACATCGAATCTATGTTGACTAGTCAGATTTTATATTCCAGGCTCCTGGGCCTCGAGCTGAGGATGCACGTACCCGAGATCCTTGCATTTTTTCAGATAGCGGTCAAACACCGTATTTGGATCGGGATGTGTGAGGAGATGCTCAGCCCATCCACCCTAAAACCGGTGTCAAATACGCTAATTTGCTGGTCTAAGACAGTCTTACCGTTGAGACGTACACGCCGTGCTCATGGGCAAGATCGACCAATTCCCGCAGTGGCGTCTCGTGAAAAAGAGTAAAAGCACCTGGGTTGGTGTTTATCTCAGCGCTCTCGTTTCTGGCGACAGCCGAAGCCCTGCTGGGACTCACCTCCGGCAAACTTCAGACCATCTACGTGATCGCCCATCCTATCAGTTGTTGTCAGATGCCATTTGGTTACGTAGGTGGGGACATTTCGAAATATTACGTTTCGAGAATATCCGCGAGATATCTTTTACCCATGACCTAGTTTAGGTTAGCTCCACAGAAAACGATGATAGGGCTATATGGTACTCACTGAGTAGTATGGGCCTCGGATCTCCGTGACTCCCTTCGTTCTAGGCTTGGCAGGTCTAGGGTTTGACCGCACGAAGCCAAAGCCATTTTGCTTGTCTTGCAGAAGAGTGATACCTTGATATATTTTCGGGGTGACAGAAAAGTGTCTAGATGGGGTCGACAGAGCAATTGAAGTGCGGCTCATTACACGCCCGGTTACAAATGGATTAACAAACATATTTAGGCAGTTACTGGACGAGTCGAGCTATCCGCAGAAGAAATCATGTATATTGGGAAGTGTCGACGTCAAACATACTTCATCGAATCAATGCCAATGAGTTTACGTAGTATATTACATCAATTTGGAAATACCATTACAATCTACAATAATATTGTATTCCTTCTACATACGGAGTACTCTGTACAACATATGTAGTTCTATACAACCCCGGCTCGGATACCGGAGACTCTGTAACGCGAAGTGTTTCGGCGTTCGGCAAGAGCAGACCCGATCTTGCACATTTTATCCATCCATGATGCCACCGTTGTAGAAGGTCTTTCTCGGATGACATAGGTACCGAGGTATATGCCTTGAAGTACTACTTTATGAATAACTTTATATACATGAGGTCGTTGTGTATCTCCTTGTGCACATATCTATGCACATCTCTACTCCGTACAACCCTAGCTATATCCAATCAATGTCAGGGAATCCCCAAACTACAGTCTCTGTATCCAGCCACGCTCCTCGCCAAGAACAAAAGCCAGCCTTGTGGACTCAGCTTTCACACACCGATTCGATATAGAGAGTTATACCCAAGGAAAAGCCAAAAGAATATGCAATTGATTCCGGTGGCTCCCGCCCTGGCCCTGGCACCTGCCTTGGACATTCGCCGATTTTCGAACACAACTAGATGGCCCTGAAGCCAACTCTCCTCCTCTATTACCTACATAATTCAAATCCCCTCATTCTTAAAGTACTTCTTTATAGGCTGCTAGGACCCCTTCTTCTTCTTTCAAGTCGAGAGAACGACTGGTCCCTTGGTCTGATACCCATCATGGGAGCTGGAATGGTCATAGAGCCTTTGGTGGTTATTGTTCTCTTATTTGGAGGCACCTGGATTAACCGCTCTGTCGGATCATCCTCGACTAAAAGCTACAACCGACGGAACTCGAACGACCTTCGACGAGCTGCTTCATTTGATTCTTTGGAGTCGGGTTACTCAAGCCAATCGACAAAGGATGGTCTGCTGAGCCCTCGCTCCCACTCACCACAAGCCCCGGAAGATGGATGGCACAAGCGACAAGTTGGACTTTTAGGGTTGAATTTCGAGGTATCCTCGCCGAATACGATTGTGTTCCAAGACCGTTTGCTCAGTCGATTGCTTCGGAAGTTTCCTTTCTTGGTGGAATGTTGGTATTGGGCTTTGGTTTACTGGGTAGGTTGATTTGCTCCTTAACTTATCATCGGTCTTGGCTAAACCAAACTCACAATTTGTATAGACGTACCAGCTCGGTCGTGCCTTTACCGCCGTGACTCTCAAGGATGACACCGTCGATGTCGCGAGGAGGCATGCATTGCAACTAATCGTGATCGAGGAGAATCTGGGAATATTCTGGGAGACCTTGATACAGAGACGCTTCCTTCGCCATCCTCTTGTCATGCCTTGGATCAATTGGATGTACTCGTTCATACACATTCCTGGGACAATCGCGTTTCTCGTTTGGCTCTATTACTATACTACCGTGCGGAATCGGATCGACGAAGCTCAGCCCGGAAAGCCCAAGGGAGCTATGAGCGGGTCGCCTGCAGGTCCTCTTCTATACCAGGCGCGTCGGCGGACTTTGGCCGTGTGCAATCTCCTCGCATTCGTGGTGTTCACTCTTTGGCCTTGCATGCCACCTCGGTTACTGAGTGATACAGCCGTGGATGGTGACGAGGGAGATCTAGCCCGCAGTTATAGGTTCGTGGACACGGTGCATGGTATCAAGGGATCGGGCAGTGTGTGGACCGAAAACCGCTTCTGTAACCAATATGGCAAGTGTTGTCTGGAATCCTCTCTATGAATCCTTGGCTAACTGTTACCAGCGGCGATGCCTTCCTTGCATTTCGGCTACTCTTTATTGATCGGCCTCACACTGATCACAATCCCTTTGCCGCAGCACCACCGGCACACAATCCTGCGTACTCGGCTGACCCGTGCCTTGAGACTGGAGCTCCCGTCGTGGCGCCGCCTCGTTTGCGTCATACTCGGCTTCCTATATCCGTTTACCATCCTTGTGGCTATTGTTGCCACTGCCAACCATTTTATTCTGGATGCTGTCGCAGGAGCGCTTGTATGTGCCTTGGGGTGGTATTTTAATGGGGTGCTGCTCAACCTGTTGCCACTGGAAGACTACTTCCTTTGCCTTGTCCGGATCCATAAGCCTGAGCCGTCACTTCTCGATGTCCATGAAGAGGAGTGTCCCACGACCGAAAGTGTTTGAGAACATGGCATCCGAGGACACCCATAGTTGATTCGACTTTGGATTCAGCGTCTTTGTTTTAGAACTTGATACCCTGTATGAAACCCCACCAGACCGCCTGGTCTGGTTTATAATCTGTCTACATGAACCTCCCTAGTTATTGTTACCCAGTTCTCTCTGTGAGATTGATGTCTCTCCCGTACCTAACCTTCGCCAATTAATATGTTTATGCAAGAAACATTCTTTGCTTACTAGAAGAGAAAGATGATTATTATCTAAATAGCTTTGTAGACAGTAGAGCATAATTATCACCGTACATACAAAGACAGTCCGGATATTACAAAAACTTCATATAATCTCTCTCTCAAATCCAAAATATAAATACTCCCTGGAAAAAACATCAGACCAGGAAAGGAGGAATCGCATCATCTTGGTGGGGTTTACTTCCATAGAACTTCAGATGCGTTTAAATCAACTCATTTGATTCCATTTGTCCCTCGTATTCGCTCACCTCGTTCAAATCAACAACCCATCCAATACTTATTACAGTGTGCTGGATCACATATTACATGGTTGTCACGGTCGACACAATAACATGAGGAGGTACAGAGTCGCAAGCTCCCTGGATGACCCTTGAGTTCTGATCTGCTCGTGATTACACACCTCTCGAGAGCATTGAATACACACTTGATACGGTGGCCTACCTCGATATGTATTGCGACTCTATCGCTTTAGCGATTTGCGATTGCTTGCAAACAATAATTGAGCACAGCACCGAGGCTGTTATAGTGTTGTGGCTATAACAAAAGGAACACGTCACATTCCCTTACATTGCGGCCAGGCTGGTTTGAATCGATGAATTTGCAGTTAATTTGAAAAGAATCTAACCCGAAGAACAGATTCATCCACGTGCCTATGCCCCGAATATCGCGGTGATAGCTCGAAGTATACATGTCTCTTGGCACTTGACAGTGTGTGGTATTATATGCCAGTGAATGAATGCGAGACCAGAAGATAACGAAGACAAAAGAGCAAATTGACTCTCGTATGTCACCAATCGTTGCTATTGCGCCGTGTTGTTCAGATATACGGTGATTGTGAAGGCATACAGCAAAGACGTCCATCGACTGCTACAATTTATCAATCTTCTAGCGAGACATCAGAGGAGACCAGAAAGAATAACGGTCGTTCCTTTGGTTTATGTCGAAAACTTGGAATATCAGTCTGCCCACGATCCGTGATATGCAATCCCACCAAGCGTCATTACTTCCCCTTGATACCTATTAGGAGCTGACATCGATACTCCATTGGCATCTTGGATGCATATTCCCATCGTGAAGTGCCTGTCTATTGAAAAACTTCAGAGAGGTAACTATTCAGAGACATTTCTACGGAGTACCCCTATGCGCGCTGTGCAACGCTCTTCCATTGACCATCCAAATACCTTGAAACATTTAAAATCCAAAAAGCGAATCAATCAATCACCCTCATCTTCTAATTCACCGTCTAAGCCTTGTTGTGTGGTGACTTGAAACTTGTGGCGTCATTGGGGTCTTCCGTTCTCAGACGCGTCTTGAAGTTCCCGCGCCTTTCGCGACTCTCTTTCTTCTCCACATCTCTCCTACCCTCCCTCCCCTGGAAGCTCCTCCCACCACCTATCCCAGTTCCAATCTACCCAATCGCCCTGTGAATTTTCACTCATCTCATCCCAGCTTGCCATTATGGCTGACGATACCCCTGTCTCTGCGCCCCAAGGCGAGCAGCCCGAGCGCGCCACTGAGCAACCCACTGACTCTGAGAACAAGTCTGAGGATGTCACCTTGTCGGAAGACAAGCCTGCCGGTAAGCATAGACTGATTGATATCAATTCATCGTTTTGCGACTCCATTTTTCAACGCTGTCCCCCGGTCGGGACATCCTGTTTCTGTGCGACGCCACTAACCCGCTGTTTCTTCCAGAGACTGAAGCTGCGCCCGACAAGAAGACGGACGCTGAAGCTGAGGCTGATAAGCCTGCTTTCTCTGACGAGGCTCCTGAGGCCAAGGCCGATGGCGAAGCCGCCGAGGCTGCACCTGCCGATGCGGAGGCCGTTGCGCCCGCGGAGGCCAACGGAACCCCTGCTTCAGCGAAGAAATCCTCCAAGAATCGCCGGACCTCCACTGGTGCCACCCAGAAGCTGAGCCGCAAAAAGTCTCAGAGTCGCATCACCCACCTGGACGCTAAGCCAGGCCAAACTTATCTTGCCCGCCTTCGCAGTTATGCGCCCTGGCCCGCTATCATCTGTGACGAGGGTATTCTGCCACCCAGCCTTCTCGAAACTCGTCCAGTTACTGCCATGCAAAAGGATGGATCCTACAAGGGCGAGTATGGTGACAATGGCAGGCGCGCCCATGAGCGTACCTTCCCCGTCATGTTCTTCGATACCAATGAATTGTGAGTCGACCATCCGCGCAGCCTCTACGCCAGACGCGAACTTCTACTGACTAATTTTTTTTGTACAGCGCCTGGGTTCCCAACACTAACCTGACTCCTCTCGACCCTGCCGAGTGCAAAAATATTTCCGAGAAGAATAAGACCAAATCACTCATCAATGCCTACAAGGTTGCATCCGAGGGCCACAACCTTCAATACTTCAAGAAGCTGCTGAACGACCACCAGGCAGCTATTGACCAGGAAGAAGCTGAGTTGGAAGCCCAAGAAGCGGAGAAAGAGGCTGCCAAGGCCGCAAAGGAGGCCAAGAAGGGCAAGCGTAAGAGCAAGGGCGCTGAGACCGATGTTGAAATGGAGGACGCGGATGACTCGAAGAAATCCAAGGCTCCTTCCAAGAAGCGCAAGAAGGATGCTGAGACCGATGCTGAGACGGAAAAGGTATGTGTTACAATTTCATTGTGTTGTGATCTCTCATCTCACGAAATTATAGCCTGCTAAGACTCCCAAGTCTAACACAAAGCTGAAGTTGACCACCCCCAAGGCTCCTACCGAGGATACTGGCAAGAAGACTCCCGCCAGCAAGACCAAGAAAGCACCTGCCAAGAAGGCCAAGGCAGCTCCCGTTGCCAGCGATGAAGGAGACAGTGCCGATGCTAAGGAATCCGAGAAGCCGATTGACCCAGAGGAACTGAGAAAGAAGAAGGAAAAAGAGAGTATGAGATCCCCCATCTCCCCCGACGAGTCCGATCAGGCCAGCTTATACCTTACAGTTTTGTTCCTCCGCCACAAACTCCAAAAGGGGTTCATCTCCCGCGACCAACCCCCCAAGGAAGATGAAATGGCTAGCATGGCCGGCTACTTTGACAAATTGGAAAAGCATTCAGACTTGGAGGTGTCGATCATCCGTTCGACTAAGATTAACAAGGTCCTTAAGATGATTGTCAAGCTCAACTCGATTCCCCGGGATGAGGAGTTCAACTTCCGTCACCGTGCCATGGGCATCTTGTCTAGCTGGAAGAACATCTTGGACGCGGACACCCCCGGCCCGGCGGACAAGGATGAGAAGTCCGCCGTTAACGGATCCAAGGAGGAGGATGGTGCTGAAACCCCCAAACTGGAGACAGAAGAGGAAAAGGAGCTCGAGTCCAAGTCGACTAAGAACGTTGACTCCCCAATGCCTGACGCGGATGAGAAAGCCCCTGAGCCCGAGAAGGAAGAAAAGCCTGAGGAGAAGGCAGCTGAGGAGCCCACCGAGGAGAAATCTGAGGAAAAGCCCGCGGAGGCTGCTGCTTAAGTGGTAGGATCACGACTCTGCGATATCTATTTTCTTACTCCTATCCATTTGCGCTCTCATTCAAGTTCTCTTCTCTGTTTCTGTTTCTGTTTCAATCTACGCGGTTCCGCCGGTTTTGTTTTCTTTTTCATCTTTTTTGTCACCTGCCAATGCAATACTGGGATACGGGGCTGGACCAACCAGCAAGGCTTCTTTGAATCAATTGAAAATGTGATTATTGTTTTTTTTTTTAATCGGCTTCTGCACATTGACCTGTGTTCTGGCCATGGAGCATAGGAGTTACCCGGCTCTGGATCTCCCCAGAGGTTGCACGCCAATGATTTCTTCTATGTCGGGCTGGTTATGCACCAATTCGGGCCCAGAGTATCGGAGCGAATGCTGTTTTATGTGCAAATGCACAGAAAGATCCCCAAGGGTACGTAATGGAGAGACTATGTCTTATTCACTGCATGTATTGAGCTCTTGAATACAAGGATCCATAATGGCTGTTCAGTAAATAGTAGAATGTATGTTGGTAAGCCTCTTTCGAAGGTCAAAGGGCGTGGGCAATTGGGATTATTATGTCTATAGAATCTCTATTTGAATGGAGTCAAGGTATCGACGTATATGCCCGGCTCTCTGCAAAATCAAAAATCCCCGCGCCTTCTATATATGTATGCAATTATACATCACGCTGCTAGAAAACAAACGGAAAAACACAATATGATGCCGGTTCGACGAAATCTCCAGATTTCCTGTCCAAATCACTCATGCATCGACAGCGATGACAACCACGACGCAGATATCATCAACTTTCCCGCCGCGGTAATATTCACCGGGGTAGTAGCGCTGAGCCTCCTTGGCAAAGGGCCCATCACGACGATAGTCGATACTAGCAATCTTCGCCTCGCCAGCAATGGTCGCCGCGAGAACAGACTGCAAGGTGATTCCATCCTCAGGTCCGGACTCGGTGTGAGCCGGGTTCTTGGAAAGCGGCGAGCCTGACGGAGTCGGAAGAGCACTAGCCAATCCACCCGGCGCAGCAAGTGCACGCAGATTCTCCGAGACTCCGACGCCAGACTCCGTAGCCGTCCACGCGCCCGTCAGAACCATACGGCTCGTGACGAGCTTGAGAATGTCCTGATTATTGATATTATCAAAAACACCATCGGTAGCAATAATGAGCACATCCCCATTCTGCATCTGCACATTCGTAACGGACGCATCACTGGGGAAATCCTCCAAAAACGCCCCGCCAAAGACAGACGCCTGGGCGCGCATACGCGGCGGGATCATGCTAAGTTGGTATGGGGTGTTGAAACCATGCGTCTGCGGAATCGAGTAATGATGCACCGCGGCCCTCCTCAACAACACCGAGCCAGAATCACCCAAATTGGCCAACTCGACCCGTCCATCCGGCAACGCGACGCCAATAGAGGCCGTACTCCCGCCTGCGCGGATTGTCGAATCCGCCACGACCTGGTCGTACCCGGCCTGCAGGAGGTACTTAGAGCGCAAGCGCTCGGCGGGTTCGTGCCAGGTCTGTGCGGTGTGCGCCATGTAGTTGCACAAGCCGTGGGAGAAGTCGGCCGGGTCGACGCGAGATTCCGTCCAGCCGCCTACGCCGTCTGCGACGCCGAAAGCGACTGCTTCGGCGTTTGTTTCTTGGTAGTCTGAGATGCGATTTCCGATACGGCTTACGAAGAAGGCGTCTTCGCCGGAGTCTGGGCGGTTGCGGCGGCGACTGACGGAGTTCTTGTCACTTGAAACGCCTATGGCGTCTGCGGCGGGGTCGAAGTTATATGCATTTTTGATGGGGTGGAAGCGGCGGCCTTTGCCGGAGGAGGAGACGGCGACGCGGTAGGAAAATTTCGAGGGAGAGGGTTTCTCTAGGTGTGTTGCTGGCGTTGCGTGGAAGGCTCGACGCGAGGGTTGGCGGGTTAAATTCAGGCTTAGATGGGAATCTGGTCTGACTCCTGCGGCGTGAGACGAGAAACGGACATGTTGGGTTTTGAACAGCGAGGAATTGTATGCGTTCGGATTGGTGGAGATTGAATATACGCCATCGCGGACGATGGCTTGGAGGCTACTGCAGGCGGAACTGCAGGCTCGACACGAGACACTTGGCGGAATCATCGCTGGTCGGGGGGCTTATATACAGTTCCCTCGTGAAGGATAGGGCTCCAATTTGGGAGCGAGCGTATAAGACAGAATCCAAAAAACTAAAAAATCAAGGAGCTGCATGAATCTCAATGGATAAGACAGTACCCGCCCTTATCGTCTGACCGCCTCGCGTCATTGGTTTTTCGTTGGTACCTGATTTCTCAGGCAGAAATTGTCATTGTATGGGATCAGACTTGGTATTGGAAGAAAACAAGAGAATCTGTTCAATATTATTCTCATATTTTGTTGCATTCAAATATTTCCACTTCCACGCGACGTTCGTCAAGTTGCATGCTCTTCAACGCTATACCGCCAACCAAAGTTTATCAATGATTCTGCCGCCCGCAACATCTTGTCTCCCGCCAACCTTTTCCTCTACCCCAATTCTTTTCTTTTACTCAAGCGCGAGTCTTTATTAATCTGCCTTTTGAGCCACTGGAGAAGCACAGGCTTCTGAGTTGCCCAAGATGATGCACCCATCGCGACAAGCTTATGTTGAGGAGACAGAGGATACAGACATGGGGGGCATCAGCTATGCCGATCTTCGTGAGTAGTTCTCGAAAGCTTCGATTTGAAGCTTCCTAATAAAATCATAGCCATGGACCAAGATTACGATATGCCCTCTACCCCAGGGGGTATCCCAACTGAGCGCGCCTCCGCCATTCTATCGCAATTCGAACGGAAACGCAGAGCGGCAGCGATGGTGGTTCCCACAGATGACACACGAGTGCGTGCGCGACTACGAGAACTCGGGGAGCCAATTACCTTATTTGGCGAAGGACCATCAGAGCGACGCGATCGTCTACGTGAATTTTTGACCGACATGGCAGAGAAACAAGGCGGAGGCGAGATAGAAATGGAAGAGGCCGAGGAGGAAGGGGAACAACAAGAAGAATTCTTCACAGATGGTGGGCAAGATTTACTCGAGGCGCGGAAAAATATTGCGCTCTATTCTTTGCCGCGCGCAAAGGCTCGAGTGGCTCGGCTCAAGGACGAATCAACAATCACACTTCGAACACATGTCAAGCATCGCAAAGCTGTCAAGGAAAAGCTACAAGGATTCGATCTTTACGGGTCGCAGATTGCTGGCGATCGTCCGGTTAGCATTTGTCGATTCGCGCCGGATGGGCAGACCATCGCTGCTGGAAACTGGAGCGGGGAGATCAAATTGCTCGGCGTGCCCAATCTGGAAGAAAAAGCGACCTTCAAGGCGCATACGGATCGAGTGGGCGGTTTGTCGTGGTTCCCCGGTGCCACTCTACCCGGCTCGAATGTCTCACCCTCAACTGTCAATTTGATTTCCGGAGGCGGCGAAGGAAATCTCCACCTCTGGGCTCTTGATCAAGAAAAGCCGCTGGCTACGTTATCTGGCCATTCGGCGCGTGTATGCCGTACCGAGTTCCACCCTTCGGGCCGATACGCAGCATCGGCATCCTTCGACAGCTCATGGCGGCTGTGGGATATAGAAACGGCAACTGAGCTGCTCCTGCAAGAAGGCCATTCGCGCGAGGTATATACAGTGGCGTTCAACAGTGATGGCTCCCTCGTAGCTAGTGGTGGATTCGACAGCATCGGGCGTATCTGGGATCTGCGGACAGGGCGCAACGTGATGATCCTCGACGGTCACATTCGGGAGATCTACGGTATGGACTGGGGAGTTGATGGTTACCGGGTGCTGTCTGGTTCCGGTGACGGCTTGGTCAAATGCTGGGACTTGCGACAGATGAAGGAGACGGGCGGGATTGGTGCGCATAAGAGCGTGGTGTCAGATCTCCGCTGGTACAAGGGTGCAGAGGCTGCTTCATTCTTGCCTTCTACCGATGGCGGGATGGACATTGATGGCGCTGCACCGGCTGCAGCAGATAAAGCAGCGGAAGCCCCCTCGCCCAAGAAATCCGGCACATTCTTTGTGAGCAGTGGATTTGATAAAAGTGTCAACATTTTTAGTGCGGATGATTGGTCCCTAGTGAAGTCGCTGAGCGGCCACTCGGGCAATGTTCTTAGCACGGATATCAGTGACGATGCGAAGTGGATTGCTAGCAGCGGCCACGATCGTACGGTGAAGCTTTGGGGGATTGAATGATTCGGGTTTATAGCTTGACTATTCCCCTGTCTGATGCCTCCTAATTGGAAATCGTACACAACTCAAAGAACAGGCTGTATGTTACCTATTGAAGAAGATCTATCATTATCTACATCGCTTTCCTGTGTAATTCGTAGTCACGTGCCAAATGCGGGGATGACGTAAAGCGGTATGCCGAGAGCTTTTTATCAACTTTGAAGTTATAGCACTTCCTTTGACCTTCCCTTGGCTGTAAAAATACTATATAGTCATGGCTTTCCGTCCACAGAGGATTGCACAGCATTTCTGTCGCACAACAACCCCACGGCCTTTATCACGACCAACCTCGTTATCAAACACAAGTCAAGATGCATGCCTCTTCTGCCGATATCGCCAGCCAGCGCGAGGACTAACAACCCTCCCAACACGTGGACCTCTCATAGCCCGGACATCCAAGATACAGCACCGCTCTGCCTCAACAGAGACCTCCACCCCAGCAGAGCCAAGCAAAAACACCCTTGCCGGCGCGCCAGACATAACCAACCACTACACGATCTTCCCTCAAACGCTACCAGCAGGCCCGCCACCAGCCTCGGCGTTCGCAATTCCAACCAGCGAACTCCGCCGCGAATTCCTCCAACTACAAGGCCTCGTTCACCCGGACAAGTACCCCAACGGAGCGGAGAAGCAGCTTGCCGAGGGCCTCTCGGCACGGATCAATGAAGCATACCGGACACTCCTGGACCCGCTGCAGCGGGCACAGTACATTCTACGGGAATGGCACGGGATCGACGTGACGGCGGAAGATGCATCGACTAAGCATGCGCTTGATGCGGAGACGCTGATGGAGGTTATGGAGGTGCAGGAGACTATTGAGGAGGTCGGGGGGTCTCCTGAGGCGGAGGCGCAGATCAATACGCTTAAGAAGGAGAATGAGGCGAGGGTTCTTGAGTGTGTGGGGAGACTTGGGGAGGCGTTCGAGAAAGGGGATTTGGAGGCTGCGAGGAAGGAATGTATTCGATTGCGATTTTGGTATAGTGTTGGGGAAGGGTTGAGGGAGTGGGAACCGGGGAACACGGAGATTCGGTTGATGCATACTAGTTGATCTGTGGTTTATTTTGTAAATTATTAGATTTGTTTTGATATATTTGGATAGACTACGCTACTCTTTTTACATGTGATGTTTGGAGAATTGAATGTACAACAGGTGTTGTTCGTTGTATACTCCTAAGGGTGCCAATTATATTTGTGGATTCGCGATGGGATGGTAGAATACGCTTGTTCCTGGGATAGAGGGGGCAAGGGATATATTTAACCTGTAACAGCGGAGCCAGAGGTTTCAAAATGTCTATTTTTATAGACATCTGTAAAAAATTTGTGAATCTCGTCGTTTTTTCCAACCTCCGTATATAAGATTAGGTAGCGTTTCAGGGCACCGTTGTACAACCGTTGACCGCTACATCCAACATATCCAGAATCCCGAGGACAAAGAAAAAAATTCAAACCAAGTGAAGCTTCAAATTTAAAACGATGGAGCTTGCAGGAGCAAATCAACCAGTGAGGCCCGAGATTGGGTTCTCTGAAGGCTGGGGATTGGGCACAAACCTGCTGATGCCAATGTCGCCCAACAATTGGACAATGCATGATCCAGTTAACATCGGCTGTTCTGTATGGCTGCTCTGTGTGGCTGCTTTGCGTTGTTTTTTGTGTCGGTGATAGCGGCATCGCATTCAAATGGTTCAAACGGACGGGTGGGTGGTGGCCATTGGCATTGGGGGGGGACCAAATCATAGTATATCGAGAGAACAGTGTAGGGCGAACACACACAACGGCAACATCAAACCTCTTTTGGCCCCATTTGCATATCGCATATCGCGAGTTAGTCATTTGGTCTAGCGTTAGTACAATGGGTCTTGGAAAGGGTTACATGCCCCCATCACAGCTGCACACGTAGCATACCACTCTCCTCGCCCGAGATCGCTTCCAGCGCCTTGGAAATTGGAGCGTAAAATATTTAATGGAGCTATCCCGCATGTTAGAACGTAGTTTTCTTCATCTCATCCCTTCTGAAGCGGAAGGTCAACTGTCATGGAGTCTGTTCCTAACTTCAATAGGTATGGAGAGCGCATCTCAGCTATGACATAGGCATAGACTGTTAGCAGACCGCTAATTCAACATCTTCAGAATCATCCATTCAGCATCATTCACCTTCCTCGTCGGCCCACAACATACAAAGCTGACGATCCAGTCGGGGCTCGCCTACCATGTCTCTAAAACACTGGATCATCTCATGAACGGTCCGACGAGGGAATCGAAACACCGAATCGCCGTTCTGGAAGAAGACGATGTTGAAACCTTCGTCGCTTTCTGCGAGTATGCATACACTGGCAATTATAGCGTGCCTCGTCCCGAGGTCCAGGAAGATCACAGACTTGGAGTAGTCGAGAGCTCGCCAATTACCAACTGGAGAGGGAATTATCGGTCTGATTCAATGTCGTCGATTGTGCCACCCCCGGCTCCATCGCCGCCTCCGCAATTTCGCCATCAGAGACAAGAATCGTACCACCAGTCTGAGCCTTCGCCCGCCTATGTAAAGGAACTGGTTACTCCGACACTTGCGCGAGAGCCCGAGGCCGAGTCGGCTCCAGATCCCAAGACTCCAGTCAGTGTAGCGGAGCCGGAGTTAGAGACATACCACGAAGCGGAGACTGCACCCGAGCCACCGGCCGAAGAAGTGCCTCCTGCCGACGATGAATGGGCGGTTCCGACCGAAGAACCTGTGTCATGGGAACCAGAGGAGCCTAAGGCAGGCAAAAAGAAGGGAAAGAAAGGAAAGAAGGGTAAAAAGCAAGCGGAGATCGTCGAAGAAGAACCTCCCGCACCGACTGAGCCTGTCAGCCTTACGCCGCCATCAACACCGCCGCCAGAAGTTGCTGCCGAGCCAGAGGCAGAGCCAGAAACAGAGCCCGCTGAAGAATGGTCTCCAGTAAACCCTGTCCCAGAAGCAGAATCAGAACCGGCTGAGTACTGGGCACAGCCAGCTGAAGAGCCTGCACCTGAACCTGAGCCTGAACCTGCAACCGAAGAGCCCGCGCCTGTAGAAGAACAGCCCACACCCGCTGCGGAAGGACCGATGGAAGATTCATGGACTCAAGACAGAAGCCCAGGCACCAGCGTTACCAAAGCACAGCCGCAAAGACCAATGCTCGACATGTCTTTTGCCCAACAGAAAGCCTCCTCATCCAGCGAGCCTGGTCTCAACCTATGGGACGAGTTCATCTCCCTGCAATACAACGACGAGCCCACAGCCTCCAAGCCCACCCCGGTCGAGTCGCCAAGCACTGAGCTCCCCTACATTACCTTCCACGCGAAATTATACGTCTTCGCCACACGGTACCTAATCCCCGCTCTCGCCCAGCTTTGTCTCCGAAAGCTGCATCACGACTTAGTCCTCCTCTCACCGACGGAATTCGAAACCCCCCACCTAGACGACTCGGAAATTCTAGACGGCTTGGCAGCAACCAAGGCGCAGATGGTGCTAGAGCTGGTGCAATACGCATACACGAAGACGGCCCGACTAGAGCCGATCTCGCCGACATCCGCCACACAGCTTCGGGAGAATGAGCTGCGTCGACTGGTAGTGCACTATTTGGCGTGCAACGTGAAAGAATTGTCACGATATCATTCGGCGGAGGATTCGGTCTCGGCGACGCCTAATTTGCGGCCGGTAGATGCCAAGACGGAGCGGGCTGAGACCTCCACTTCTACGTCCCCTAAAAGCCTTCGTGCTTTGTTAGATTTGACGACAGAGCTGGCCTCAGATCTGGTCTATCGCATGATGTGAGTGGATGCCGGGATGTGATTGGGTCATAGGTCAGGGATATGCCCAGACTTTTGGTGTTCTATTTTCTGCGTTAACTTGATATGATTTTATGCATTGATGCCCTTGAGATGTTTCGAAGGATCGCGCTGGCGTTCTGTTGCACAATTTGAATGTGTCATTTTCTGTTTTCGAGGTGCATTGCATTATCTTGCATTTGTCCTGCATGATGTTAATCTTTTTCTTCTTTTCTTTCCTTTTATTTGAATGAATTTGCAATTTAGTTTGTGTCCATGGCTGTCGTATAGTTGTAGCCTTCCGGGTGATCGGTGGGGTCCCGTCGACTTGATAGGAGAGAGTGGACTCCATGAACTCCATAACCGCCAGACCCTGATTGTATCAAGTGAATTCCTGATGACATCGACATGGGTTTCATCGTATAGGTCACTCTCAAACAAGGTGGCATCTTGGCAAAACGGCGAAAGATAAGCCAACCAACTCACCAATGACGATCCAAACATCCCCCCTTGAAAGAAGATCGACCGATCGACAAAGATCCATGTCCGAATAGTCTCTTGGCAAGAATCCCAGCGTCAATAGTGCTGTTTGACGGGGGCTGTGAAGGTTGTGAAGGCTGTGAGGGTCGAGAGGTTCAGGGGAAAAGAAGCGCCAAGAGATTCCGAGGTACGTCAACCTTCCAACTCCACCTGACTTTGTGTCAAATTCTCATCTCAACTTCTCTCCTTGATCTTCAGCTGCGTGTCTTCTATTGAATTTGTTCTACACGTGCATACTCCGTACACGCAATGGTGTGACCTATTATTTCCTCTCCTCCAATCCTGTCTCTGTCTTCATAATCAAAGCTTGGCAGCGGTCCGTCAATGTACTGGAGATCGCTCTTGGCATTTGGCGTTCAGGCACGTTGGAGGCGCATTTGAATATCCCTGTTTAGGCTTTTTCTATACATCTGATGCCCTATCGGAAGGGCTCGGCGTCAAAGACAATCAAAATCGGCCCGTAACTCGGCTTTGAGATTCATCATCTGAGTAACCTGTCTCTGATTCAAAGTGAGTGTTGAACTGACACAAATGTACAGATTGTCAATCAGCCTACTCTGTACTCTCCCAACGACTGGGTCTCCATTCTGGGAATATCACTACGCAATGGTTTCTACATGTTCTTGGCAGAGCTGGACTTTCCACCCCCCTAGGCATCAAAGTTCTATATGCCTAATGCTCAGATCCGCAGTGGATCTCTGTGCTTTCGGAACTGCCCCTAGAGGCACAAACCCCCTGACGCATATGGAGTATGAATCGTCCGAGCCCAACATCCTGGCCGATCTATTCTTATAGATTTCTCCATGAATTATGGGTCCGAAATGCTCGTTGAGGCCGCTGGTAGGTCCATTGCAAATGATTCCTTTGCCTTGCCTACCTTGTATATAATCCCCTTTCGGTTTTTGATCTTTTTCACTATCAAAATGTAGAGTCTTGGAATTCCTTGGCTGATCTTCAGTGATTTCTGAAAAATATGAAATCGATATGCCTGGACGTTCTGCCCATGGTATATTAACATCACCCTTTCGCTCCTTCTCCCAGATCACTTCTATTCATCACTCATTTACTTCAATTCTTCCAGACTTGACTTGAATTTGCTTTTTCATTCATTCTATGATCCACTGGTCTATAGTCCTATCTTGAATACATTCCATCTATACTCCTTTTTCATGTTTCAACTTTAGGGCTGAATCTATACCTCGTTGCATACACACACACACACAATGTCCAACCCAGTTCTACTAGGGGCCTACCCTAACCACAGCCAAGAGCTTCAGCCTCCATCTGCACCGCCGTCTGCACCGCCGTCTGCTCACTCCGAAACACCCTTCATGGAATCAGAGAAGTACCAGAAGCAGTACCCACTGAGCTTCCGCGATCGTCTCCGCCATTTCACATGGGCATGGTACACCCTCACCATGAGCGCAGGAGGCCTCGCACTTCTCATAGCGAACCAGCCGAACAAGTTCACAGGCTACCACGAGATCGGCCTAGCCATCTATCTGATCAACCTCGTCCTCTTCTCCCTCGTCTGCTCTCTCATGGCAGCGCGATTCATAATCCACGGCGGCGCCCTCAACTCCCTCCGCCACGAACGCGAGGGCCTCTTCTTCCCAACCTTCTGGCTCTCCGTCGCAACACTGATCACCGGCCTGGAGAAGTACTTCGGCGAGAACCCCGCCCCATCCTTCACAGCCACACTCGAAGTCCTCTTCTGGATATACTGCTTCTGCACATTCACTCTCGCCGTCGTACAATACTCCTTCGTCTTCACCTCGCACACCTACCGCCTGCAAACAATGATGCCCTCGTGGATCCTCCCCGCGTTCCCAATCATGCTAAGCGGGACGATCGCGTCTGTAATCGCCAAAAGCCAGCCCGCGCGCGCAGCAATCCCAATCGTCACCGCTGGAATGACCTTCCAAGGTCTGGGCTTCTGCATCTCCTTCATGATGTACTCGCACTACATCGGCCGGCTGATGGAGAGCGGACTTCCGTGTCGGGAACACAGACCGGCGATGTTCATCTGCGTTGGACCACCGGCGTTCACAGCCCTTGCTCTCGTGGGTATGGCGCAGGGACTGCCTGCGACGTTCAACGTGATGGGCAGTGAGGACACTGCTGCTGACGGGCGGATGCTGGAGATTCTGGCGTTGGCGGCGGGCGCGTTCTTGTGGGCGCTGAGCTTTTGGTTCTTCTGCGTCGCTGCTATTGCGGTTATTCGGGCGCCGCCGACGAGCTTCCATCTCAGCTGGTGGGCGATGGTTTTCCCGAATACTGGGTTTACGATTGCGACCATTACGCTTGGAAATGCGTTTGACAGCTCCGCGATTAAGGGCGTTGGCTCTGCGATGACTGTCTGCATTGTCTGCATGTTCCTCTTCGTCTTTGTCAACCATGGTCTTGCAGTCTATCGCCAGGATATTATGTATCCTGGTAAAGATGAGGATACCTCGGATTGAGATGCCCTTCCGACCGAGGGATTATTGTCTCTCGTTCTGTTTTTGATTTCTTTCTTGTCACTTTTGGTATTTTCTCGGCTTCTTGCACAGTCCTTGTTCGCGTTGGTCTTCTTTCACTGCACACACTACTGTCATCTCATTGCGGTCTTTTTCATTTTGATTCCCAATTCTTGTTGATTCTCCCTTTTGCTCTTTCGATTCAAAAAAGCGTTCAAGCATTTTGTTTTCTTTGTTTTGGTTCTATGAGAACTCTGCATCTCCGGCGTCTCATGTCCTGTCTGATCTTCCATCTCCTTAGCGACTACTACATTTCAATAGAATTAGAACAAGAACATTTCATTTCATTGCAATCATTTCATACCTGCCTAGTAATAATAAAGCAAAACAAAAACAAAAGACCAATCCGTTGTGTACAAGTACGCGGTCCAAGAACCAGAACAAAGAAAACAAGTCACGCGACCGTAAGAGCCCTACTTGGAAGCCATCATTGCAAAACAAACACAACACTGCAGAGCGGAAAAAAAAAAATTCGCAAAGCGCAATCAGGAAACAAAACATTGAAGAGGCTCGTCTTGGCTTCATCCCGAAGGATTACTGGACCCCAGCACCACGTTGAGGTGCGAGCCATCGCTGGGGTAAATGGCAGAATAAATGGCAAGATACATGGCAAGATAAATGGCAGAGGACATTGTAAAGCAGACATGATAACGAAGTCCCTCTCTTCACTTCCCAGCCGGCACCAGGTTGCCCCAGGACCGGTGAGCAGAAGGCGGGGGATAAATGAGGAAGATGTATGAGTGACATGATATGTAAATGGTAAACAAAGATGTAAACAAATGTCAGAAACATGTCATAGATGGCAGGCTCGTCTTGGCTTCACCCCGGAGGGTTACTGGACCCCAGCACCACGTTGAGGTGCGAGCCGTCGCTGGGGTAAATGGCAAAATAAATGGCAAGATAAATGGCAGAGAACGTTATAAGCAGACATGATGACGAAGTCCCTCTCTTCACTTCCCAGCCGGCACCAGGTTGCCCCAGGACCGGTGGGCAGAAGGCGGGGGATAAATGGAAAGATAGATGGCAAGACATGGTGACGAGTCCCTCTCTTCACTTCCCAGCCGGCACCAGGTTTCCCCAGGACCGGTGAGCAGAAGGCGGGGGAGAAATGATAAACAAGAAACCCGAAATGTGAAATGTAAACAAAGGGAAGGGGCTCACCGTTGCTTCACCCCCCCCCCCCAGCACCCGGTGGTGCGCGAGCCGTCGATGGAGGAGGTGTAAACAAAGGACGGTGACAAGAAAATGGGGAAGAGGAAGAAAACAAATAAGTGATGATGATGGATGGATGGGTGGAAGTGGGAGATGGAGGACGATGAAGATGATATGAAGAATGGGAAATGAGAGATGAGAAAAAAAGGAGGGATGGGGAGATGAAGAAGAGAAGAGGAAGATGGGGGAGACAGGGGTATTTATGGGAGAAATAGTCGATGGCCTCAGGATACACCTGGTCGCCCTGGCAATAACTATGTATGTCACCATTATGTCAATATGTATAGAAGTAGAAGAGAAGACAATGATATTGAATCCTATGTAAGAGATTGTCACCTTGCTCAAGCAAGTTTTGTGTGGGTATCATGATGACAGGAAAAAGCAGTCTTTTGCCGCACATGGCTTCGTCGCTGTGAAGCGACAGGTCGAGTTCATGCTCGACAGTCAGGCCTTGAGACGTCTAAGCTTCATGGAGCACACTGGCGCGCACTGGGAAAACGGCCAGAAACACGTGACGCCGACGGCATCTGATGGACTACCACGCGGCCCCATCTGCTGGGAAGGAGTGAACTGCTGAGACGAGACTTCCGGGTTGGTGAAGGCCCTCAGAGTGGTAGACTTGGGATGAAGTGCGAAAGCCGTTCACAGCAGCTTAAGCAATCTTTCTGCCGACGTTACCGATTCCACGGCCGACAATGCTGACAATCACATCTCCATCTCCATTGTCAGGTGCGTC